TTTGGTAATGCCCCCCCCCCCCCCCGATTCACTCTGGATCCGCCACTGTACATTATTACGAGTATATGTATGTAAGTGTATTAATTTAAATTCTTACATCTGAGTTAGAGGTTATTTTCACCCACCATCTACTGTTCTCTCTTTGTAAAACGGACAAAGATCGGTTCTCGTGGTCGTAACAATATTGGGCTCAGAGGGTGGAGCGGAACAACATTGGTCTTCGTGTTTACCGGTGTCATCTCAAATTTAGCGACGACAGACGCCACTGAGTATTTCAACACGGTCATCGCGTACCGTGCCCCTGAAATCACATAACAGAGAGAATGCAATAATTAACGAAGAAAACGACGGTGTATTATAACAAGTGTAATTACAGTATGTGTTTCTCTCAATTACCGCCGTTAATGAAGTCTCGCGTGAAAAAAAACACACACACATCACCGCTGCCTTTCAATCGTCGCATTATAATGCTTTATGACTTTACGACACCAATACCTATGCAAAAAGGAATATCAGTAAGCCTCTGATTCATCATCGTAATAGGGTGAATGCTTGTTAATCATAAAGTAATTTTAAAAACATTAGATTTTCTTGAATGAACAGAATTTAATTTGAAGGGGAAATGGCCGTTACAAATGGTTTTTTATCTCATTTGACAATTTTACAATCTTTAGAAAATTCTTAACGTGTGGAAAGTAGCATTTAATAACGGACTGACGTAAACTTTGTGACTATATCGTTTTGTTATAAAAGTGTCCAACTATTAAGAATTGTACAGGTTGGATATTATTCTACTTATCCAAACAAAATCTTCCCAACATCAATTAAGATAAGTGTCGTGCAACCACTCAACCAGAGCTCTACAGACGGAAGTTTGAATGATCATGCCTACATGTACTTTTTATGGCTGAGGTATTGTACACTCCCGTATCGCAGGGAGCACAGAGTCAGGTTTTTTTGTGCTAAAACCATTTTTGACGAGGATCATCGTCTTAAAGTAGCCGATAAAGTACAGATATGACTAAGGGAGTCCGAAAATAGATAAGAAATAAAAGTTATCACAGATTTGTTACTCAGTTGCTCTGGTATATTGAACGCCGTGACACATAAAACATTTTAAAACGTGTTTAGATCCACGTGGAGCAACAATGTTAATACCTTAACTTAACTCTCCCCGTAACATTCTCAGAAAATGTAAAAATGCTCTCTTGCAATTTTTGTGAAAGTTGCGTGAAAGTTTAGTTATGAATTTGGGGCTCTGCAATAGGTAGAGCGAGGCACACAGGAAACAGAGTATGAAACGAGAGACGCTGACAGCAGCCCTTACTTATCGCCTCTTATTCTCCCTGCTCCGTCAAGTGAATGACAACGACTGATAAGCGCCGCGCCAGGGACCCGAAAAAGTGAAGCGCCTTCAATTCTTTCTACACGCAACACGCACGATCATTAAGTGCGAATAGTTGTATTTAGGCGCTACAATGAACGTAGCGTCACATTGCATTTGGAGAGCTGTTCCAGTGCAGTATTGTTTAACGTTTAGGGTTTTTTTTTCCATTGTAAGTAAATACTTAAACAGCTTCAAAGACGAGCATTACCTACAACAGAACTGATAGTATTAGGGAAATCATAATTTGATATTTTTTACTACCAATCTGTTTCGTCTTGTGATAAGCAATTTTAAAAAAAATTCCGTTACTCACTAGCGGTAATCTTTTTAGGTGAGACACGTTTCGGAGCTAAAAGCTCCATCATCAGTCGGCATAGCGAACATTCAGACAGTCGACAGCGAACAGAGAACAGTCGGAGTTGGCTGCCATCTGATGATAGAGCTTTGAGCTCCGAAACGCGTCTCTCACCTAAAAAGATTACCGAAAGTAAGTAACGGAAAAATTTTTAACCTTTTTTATCACAATTTGACTCGTGCCCCTCCCCCCGCAAAGTTTCTGTTTCTTCTACCCTTTACACGAAATTCGCTGCACAATTAAGTGCACTCCTGCACAGCAGAAGTTGAGTTTTCATCGCAAGGTGCATTTTGCCCGAGTTTATCACGCACAGATATGTATTAGTGAGAGTGGCTTATCAAAGGAGGTGTCTTACCAAAGCAGCTTCGTGGGCCATTTCCGAATGGTAAGTATGTGAAGGGCGTGAGTTTGCTCGAACTTTCCTCGTCAAATCTGTCGGGCCGAAACTCTCGGGGGTCTGAGTGGTGCTGGGGGTCTGCGTGAATCGAATAAATTGGAACAACGAGTAAAGTTCCCACAGGCACGATGGTCTCAGAGTCAGGAATTTTGTACTCTTTCGTGCAAATTCTCACCACTGGCATCAATGCTGGATACAGTCTCAGAGTTTCTGCAATGGGTGAGAAGAATTAGAGATCGGCATCCGAAGAAGATTCTTCCCAGAGTCTGGGATAAAAACACCGTCCATGTGGAAAGTACCGAATAATCTAGTCTCAAATGAGAATCAGGAAGAAGGCACAAGAATGCTTCTTATAATGCGAACCATGTTTTCAAGAAATCGTCACCTTCTGGTCAAAGTATCACAAGCGCCATATGACCGGATTTACCTACTTGCTGCCCATGGGCCGCCTGTATTTTGCCGCCCTCTTCTCATTCATTTTGGAACATCAATAAAAACCATCAAGTGGACGTGCCAGAGGGAGAAGGGTGCATTAGACGCGTTCACTCGTGTTGGACACATTTTTTGCGTAAGCCCTCTCAACACTACTAGCAAAAGTTCACGGAACTTCGCGCGAAAGTTCAGTTCCGTAAACCTATCTCAGTGGGGACAAGGCCTTTCATTTGTAAGAAATAAACTAAAAAATTAAGAAAGAACAAACATAAATGTGGTTTAATAATTTCAACTTCCGCCGCCGTGCCGCGCTGACCACACTGTGTTTGGCGCAATGCGTGAAGTATTTATGTAGTCTTGTAGGCACTGTGCGTTTCACGCCGCGCCGACCGCTGTTGACCGCACTGTGTTTGGTGCAATGCGTGAAGTATTCATGCAGTCTCGAAGGCGCTAATAAGTGTTACATGCCGACCGCCGCGTCGAGGGCTTCTCCTTTTCATCTCAAGTTCTCGTCATCATTTCTCTTTGCGCCGCACCGCTCCAGGCCAAATTACGTATTTGGTCTCTCTCTTAACTCAACTAAATAAAGGTGCGCAGTCTTTTGTATCACCGAAATACGACAAAATTAGAAATTAATGAACTCTCAGGAAATGAGAGATTTTGTCACATTTTCTTGTTTGTAATTTTTTTCTGAATCCGATTTTTTGTACCTGCATTTAAAAAAATTGCAAAATTTGCCGCCCCCTAATTTTGCCACCATGGGCCGCGGCCCATGTTTTCCCAAAATTTCCGCAGCCATTTCATTTTTTATAGAGACATTTTTCAACGAAGCTGTCCGAAAATTTCACTGAATTTTCTTTGTGCTGTCGATAAAATTCAGTTAAATTTTCTAACAGATTCAACCAAAAGTTTCTCCGTAAAAAAATAAAATGGCGACGGAAATTATGAAACTTAGCACGGCTCTTACTTTAGCCGGAAGGTGACGAAATGGACTACATTTTGCAATTTGGAACTATAAATTCTAGCCCTGTTTAAAAACAACGTATGTGCCATTAGTTTCTCTATGCACATAAGTGTTTTTCCGCAGAAGAGCCAGAATTTATAGTTCGAAATTGCAAAATGCAGTCCAAATATTCTTCTTACCCTCGATAATCGTCACCTCCTTCGTTGGTCAACAATGTTAGTCGTGATCCACTTTCCTTTAAACAAATTAATGTTAAATGGACTCAATTTAAAAAATAGATTAGAAACCGACAAATATTACCCTCGCGAGAATTTTTGCTCAAAATTCTTTTTCTTCTGAAATTTTTCTCTTTTTTCTCAAATTTTTCATCACTTTTAATTTTGATTTGAGGGACCTCGTCTCCGCACAAGCTAGGGCAAGTAAATAAAACTTTTAAAATTTGGTTTACTCACTTGTGACGAATTTTTCCTTTATTATGCGGACGCATTTCGAGCGAGCTGTTCATCATTGCAGTGTGGGTAATGCGCAATTCGCTCGAAACGCGTCTGCACAATACTTAGAAATAAAATTGTCGTATGTGAGTAAATTAAATTTTAAACATTTTAATCACTGTTATTCAAAATTTCTCCAGGCTGTAAGAATTTTTTCTTTTAGAGTATAGTTGGTATAAAAGAGTTGAATAAATATGTAAAACAGCTCATTTTAGTCAAATGAAGTATTACTCATAAATTAGTACGTATAAGGTACGCGCACCTCTTGGGAACCCGAAAAACCGAAGCGCCTTCAATTCTTCTGACATGCAACACGCACGATCATCAAGTGCGAATAGTTGCATTCAGGCGCTACAAGGAACGTAGCGCTGTAGCATTGCATTTGAAGAGCTGTTCCAGGGCCGTATCGTTCGTAATTCTTATCTTTCTCATTACTAATCCTTAAACGGCTTCAGGAACGATCATTGTAACAAAACTTACCTGTGCTTTGATGGGAGCCTTGATTAAGACATCGCGAGAAACGATTTTTTTAAGAAATAATTCTTAACTTGCACGTACCTTTGATAACTTTCTCCGTGTGTTTTAGATCTTTTAAAACATCGTCGGTGATCACTTCCGTTGAGTGTTTACGCAACGCCTCGTCGACCTCTGCCTTTATTTTGTGCTGGTGTTCTGGGTTCAAAGATAGTAAGTGGAAACAGAAGCTTAGAGGTCCAGAGCTTGTTTCCACTGCATCCGTGAAAGTCCAGATCAGCTGTCCGATCAGCATCATTTCTTTGGCTGCAAAAACCGAATTTTGAATTGAACGTATTCATGCTAAGAAGAACTTATGCCGATAAGGTTTTCGCGGAATATAATTCCTTCTAGCATAAATGTGTCCAGTTGTTTCTCACATCACAGCTTAGGAACGGCTTTAACTTACATTATACAGGGTTATTCAAAAGTCACGCACCACTGGCCATAACTTTAGTTCTCATTATGATATCGATTTGCAGCTTAAGACGTTTTTCCTCATATCGAGGGGGAAACTTTTTTAGGTACTTTCCAGGTTTTGATCCCCTTGGGAGGAGGAGCGGCGGGGGGTACCTCGAAAATTTCAAATGGCCACCCCCCTCATGGCCAGTGGTGCGTGACTTTTGGATAACCCTGTATAGTCTGTCTACATATGAGACGTTGTCTCATTACCTTTCATGTCTCATTTAGTTTACAGAAAATTGAGTAGAAGTTTGGCCTCCCCCCTCCCCCTTTCATAAAATTGCAATACTTTTTACGAAATTTGATCGATAAACGCTGATTTTAACAGATCCATGAGATGTGTTTCATGTGTGGGGAAAAAACATGTGTTTGCAGTGCCAAAAAATAGCACTATTTTTTACTGAAGTTTCTTAAGTTATTTCAATAAGAGGGGCTCCTTCAATCAGTACCTATTAGACATTATACACGACACTCAGATAAGATACCTAGCCTTCAAACCATGTGATTGCAACGTATTGCAACCTGTCTTACTTGAGGAAGTGAACTACTATCCCTGCACTATGGGTTTCATTAAAGCATTTCAAGGAAGAAAAATGTACGTGAAATTTGTTTGATTTCGAGGGAAAGGAGCATTAGAAAACGTAGGACTCATTTTTATATATTTCCGGCTGAAGATGGAACACCCAGCTCTCGGACGGTCTGCTGCTCAATGATTAGTGTCGCAAGGATCCGCTCGGAGCGCCACTTACTAGACGCACAACGACCTGTTATGCCCACGTGACCAGTCTGCGATGCGATGATAATATCCATGCGTTATCACTCCGTGTACCCGTATCTTTCCTCAATTTTTGTTTAATATAATGGTGTTTTTCGCGTTGAATTTATCCCAGAGTTTCGGTCGAAAGTGTCTTTGGAATCACTCGAAGATACTCACGTAAGATTCTTTATTGCATTCTTTCCTGCATGCTCTTATTATTTTGTTCATGAAATGCCGACGAGTCTAGTTGTCGGAGCGCATACTTGAGAAAAATGTCGAGATGAACCTGCGTGACGTCACATGATGAGTAAACAGACATAATCCGAGAACAACGTGCCCACAAGAATCTGCTGGTGCTTGTGAGCTCCACTTTCAGTCATTGTGCCCCCCCCCCTTCCGAGCTACTCCCTCTCACCCTTCTCCAAGCGTTTTCATGCTTTTCCCAAAGGAGTCTATTCACTATCGAAGTTATTCAACACATATTTTCACACAGTTTCACACTTAAGTTATTTTTCTTTTTCCCACATTCGAGAACTAAGTATGATTAGCGGAAATTTTTATCTTTCCAAACGTATATTCGTAGAGGAGACAGGGAGGAAAAAAATGTCTAGTACAAATATTTCAAAATTATAAACCTACAAATAGGTATTCACCCATTCATGTCTTGAAGAGAGGGGATTGGGATAGAGAAGGAGGGGAAAAAGTTTTTTGACCCACATCCAAACTTTGGATTCCAAAGTAGCACAGTGCAACGAAATCAATTTTGCAGGAATTTCTAATTTTTTACAACTCAAAAATGTCAATATTATTACATCGTTTGGTTAATGAATGCCGATTTCAAACGATCAAATGTATGAGAAAGATATACAATCAATTTACAATGCAAAAAAATCGTAATTTATCTCAGTTTTATCGGCTTTCGACAGGTTCAACCCCTTTCAATCAGAGAGTAGGCAACATACGCAACACTCTAGGTGAAGCAAGCAGTCTCACTTGGAGTCGATTGTTTAATATATGTTTAAATAAAGAAAAAAAACAATGTTTCCAATTTGCAAGCGAATCGGCATCAGCAACACTCCGATACAATAGTCATAATTTTACTATGTAGGTAATCGTAATTCATTTGCAACCTATGCTACTTGGGATCTCAAGTATTAATTCCAAGAGAGAAAGGTCGACTTACTTGGAGACAACTCCTCTGGATTCTGTATTTTCCTCTCCACCGTAAAAGCAGGATCCTCGTTAGACCCTTCACTCGCACTTTCGTTGTTCTCATTCTTATTTTCCTCGAGATCCATCAAAAACTGGAAAAGATCTTTGTCCGTGTTTCGGCCGTCTTTTTTGAGACATCGGTGGACGTTTTCGGCAACGAAACCCTTGAGGATCCTGTGCTCGGTCGGAGACATGACCGCGAATTTGTGGCCTAAACTCGGGTAGAATATAAACCCGAATTGCGTCAGCATGGTGAAAAATGACGGTTTGAAGGTGCTGTACAGGAGTTCGAGCACGGGTGTTTTCTTGTCCGAGAAAGGATCCAAATCCGTGCCCAAAGCTCTGCTGATCAGGTCTGCGGTGAACTTGAAAGCAAGCTCGTGCACATCGACCTGGAAAGACGGAAAACAGGAATGTTGAGGCTAGAAAGTTTATCCAACCCTGAAAAGGAATGTACCCTCAACGTTGCTTCGACATCCACCGAGTCCCTGCGGTAATGACGGGGAATTTTGTGGCAAGGTTGATGCAACATTAGTCGTGAGGCAGGAAGCCACATTGGACAGTGACATTTTGTAGATATTGTAGGTCGACATTTGCACAGAAAAAACCCAAAGCTGGTAATTTATGTTTAATATGAATTTTCATTTCCACTTTTTTCGATCACTCACGTGATTTTTTTTTTTCTTTTTTCTTTTTTGTTTGGACGAAATTGTTTGGCAGTTTTACTTTGAATACTGCCAAGTGATATTGCACGAATATCTTTTGGAACCATCGCCTGACAATATTGACAGCATTGTTGCAGGACAACATTGACCAAGAAAAGCCAATATTGTTAGGAAGTGTGGTTATCTAAAAGGCCACTACATCTTCCTTCAATGGACAAGATAGGCAAAAGCGGTCTCTCAGGAGCCACAATAGTTGTATTCGCAAATCATGCACGTCACAAGAAGTAGATGTAGAATTGATGGCGGACATTGGGTCACTTTAAGTTTAAGTCTGAAGCTGATTGACTTGTGCATTATATCCTCAGGGAGAAGATTGCGGAAACGCAAAGTCTCTATTGTGCACATTTTTTGACATTTTTAATATCACGAGGTAGGACATATTAGAATTCCTGCTGCATATATTTTAATCTAGTGGCCTATAACAAGGCACAATTACACCTTTTGAAAACGAATACGTACCCATGTTCTATTATACTGCTTCTCGAAGTGTTGCTCCATTTTCTCGGAGCAGCTACTCATTCGATTGGCCATCTGCCTCATGCTCGTGGCGGAGAACATGGACGACATCTGACGCCGCAGGGTCTTCCAGTAGGAGTCATTGAGCGAGTAGAGCTGGTGCGAGTAAATATGGTTCTGGTCGTACCGGAAGTCGTGATGGTTCGAGAAGTGATGAAAGTCCTTCACGAGGACTCGATCGATGATACTCGGATCAAGAATCATCAGAATCGGGGTTTGAAATTGGAAAAATCCGCAAAATCGCAGGTTTTGAGCTCGGGCCTTCTGGTACAGGATGTCCAGGCATTCGGCGTAAGATTTGAAGAGGAACTTGCGGAAAACGCGATGACCACACACGTAGCACGGCTCCAAGTATGGGATGCCCAGCCGCTTCCAATGGTCGAACCGCGATATGAACGCTAACAAGCACAAGACCAACGCGAAACAAACGCCGATTTGAAGGTACAGAGGAACCATTTTGATTCTAGTTTTTGTTTTTTCAAAAGATAAAAACAGAGCAAAACTTTATCGCGTACTAAACTCAAAAGTCAAACGTCCACTCAATCCGTCGTAGTTTGAGTTCAATAACTAATCGAGAAAATGATATTTCACTTCTTCACTTTCCACTGGAGGTAGCGTGAATCCATGAATCAATGTCATGGGACTCGTTTGAATATTAATTTCAGCACTTTAATAGGGTTTAATAGTCTTAAATAGAATAATTTACTCTAATTACAACGCGCCTAGGTACTGTTTTGTAATAAATAAATATTGACTTAATTTAATTTTAATTATAAATCCTTTAAACGGATTATTTTAATGGTTAACCGCACTCCTTAATTTACCTTTCGAACTTTCTTTTTATTATTCTGAATTATGTACTTTCATTTTACTGTGAATTCAAATTGATATTTCCTCGTATTTCAGTTCAGATCTTCCAATATTTGTTTATTCGGATAGAAATAAATGGGAGTGAGGGATACGAAGAGTAATTTCGTCTAGAGATAATGTTTTCTGAAAGCTTATCTTTCGGGTATATTATCACAAACTTGTTATTTCTGAGAGATAGAATAGTGTTAAAACTGAATCACTGTAAAACTGCACGTCAGTGGCTGGTTTCCTCCAAAAGTAACAATGCAATAGAATTAGGACAATAGTGATTTGTAGCACATGCAGACGGAGTTTCTTCATTGTGCTTGGCAGCAGTTGTCTATGAACCGAACATTTTAAAGAATACAATTGACAACATTAGATCGGTCTATAATGATATTTCCGCGCACCGTCATAAGTTAAATTTGTGAAAAACATACATAAATATTTGCGAGAATTTTTTTTAACTGAGAAACTGCTAAAATAAAGGCCTCAAAAAATCGCGCATTGAACGCGAAAACCAAAATGAAAAAAATAAACACGAAAAACCCCCAAAAACTTTTCAAAACGTCGACAACTTTGTGCAGGACGAACAACTTTGGAACCGGTTCGAGTCCCAGAGAAATGGGACTCCCTGGAGTCAGTGGTTATGATCGAACCTCGCGTTTGGAGAAACTGTGCCTAATCCTGGATTGTGAGACTGACGTAAGCTGATTGACGGCAGCAGTAGGCAATAATCAGGTACTCGCTGATGTCTAGTCAAATTATCCTAGCGGAAATATGAGAGTGGTAGGTAATGCATGTGGTTAGCCTTCAGGTTGAACTGCTATACAATAATTGCCGATAATCATCTTCGGATGTTTTTATTTCTGCGTGGAAATTCTGTCCCGGCTCACTCCCGCGGCAATCTGTCCCATACTCGCAGGTGATCACACCAATCCCATATCTTGGTCGTCAACGCTTTCACGGACGTCCCGGAGAACTTCCCGTGTTGAAATTAGGGCACTTCATCTTTCATGGTTGGCACGAAGAGCTCTTACAGCCAAGACTCGTCAGTTAACTCGGGAAAACTTTTACTGCCATCCAATGGTAACTTACTTCCAACGCAAAAGAGTATCCATAAAACCATAAAGAATATTAACATTCTGTAGGTTAATTAATGACTTCCGCCAATATCACGTTTCTTGACACAAGAATACATTTTTTTATGGCTAAGTTCTACCCCTCAAAAATTTGTAACCCCTCATGCGATACTCTTCCCACGGCCGGATTTAGGTTTTTGCCGCCCCTGGGGTCAAAATATAGCCGCTTCGCTGCTCCCATTTATTCCCTTCCTCCATCCTTTTTCCGCTCATCTTCTTGTTTCGCTCCCTCCCTGTCTCCATATTTTCTTTCCTTACGCAATAACTTTCAAATTTCCAATTCCGAAATTTGCCCATCGCTATAATTCACCGCCCCTCAAAAGCCGGTATGGGCCTGGGCCCCAATGCCCTATAGGTAAAGCCGGCCTTGAATCTTCCCCGTCCTACGAATATGGCGGAAAAGTTATCCAACATCGTAAGGAAAAAGTGAACTTACTATCGCACATTTCGTGGAAAGTTGCAGTCAACCGTGAACCCCCCCCCCCCCCCCCNGGGGGGGGGGGGGAGCATTTTCGGAGAGAACTCACGATTATAAGTTCAATCTCCCATGCAACGTAGAAAGAGTGAACTCACCACTTATTACTTTTTATGAGAAACCAGCCAAGATTTGATGGAATTATTGTTTATGAGAGACTGATAAAAGACCACTGAGAAGAAAAGAATGTGTACAGGAATTGCAGTTTTGTCATTTTCTTTCGGCGGGAAAAGTAAAAAAGACTCAATATCGTAGAGATTAAATGTATTTTAAAAAAAAATTACTAATGGGAAACATTCCGAAAGACGTCGGTTAGAAAATCATCATAATAAAATTATTATCAATGGAATTTCCCCAAAAAATTAATATAATTGAAATAAGGGGGGCTCGGAGGACAAGTCGCATGAGTGTAGTTTTTGCTATTTCGAGAAATACGCGTTTGAAGTTTCGGAATTTAATGGATCCTTATGGCGGAAAGAAAGTTCAAACTGACTTTCTGATGCTTAAAAATTGGAATTTGGGATAGAATTTTTCACAGATTACGCATTAAGAGTAGTTTTACTTGAAATCATTATTACCTCAATTTTTTCAAAAACTCCACTTAAGCGTCTTGTCCTCCAAGCCCCTCTTTTATAATTAAATTAATACTCTACAACTCAAAGTAATTCCCCTTTCATTGCAGGTACATTTAAATTTCATCGAGACTGTAGCGTATTAAACCAGACCAGAAAACCATGAAACTGTTTAATAAATTCCACACAACTTCGATGGCTCGTTGAACAGAGGATCAGCTTTCAGAGGACTACGAAATTAGAATAAGCCGTACACGATGATCTCAATTTCAAACTTGACAGCTCTCCTGTCTATTCCATGCTTGTGTCTCATCTTCCTCTCAATCAGTTTCTACGTGTACTTGCGAGCCACAATAAGCCACCACTCCTGGAAAAAGAGAGGCATACCGCTTCTCGACCCTGTACCATTTTTTGGCCAATGGGAATTCTCGCGCATTTTCCATGAATCATACTTTGAGATCATAAACCGCCTCTATGAGGGGGCTCGCTCGAAGGGACTCAAATATTGCTGCATATTCCAATTTTCCACCCCAACCCTTATGTTGCTGGACCCACAGATCATTGGGAGCATCCTCACGAAAGATTTCGCTTACTTCAGCGACAGGTTCGATCTGCAATACGATGAAACACAGGCAATTTCCCAACAGCTTTTTTCCGTATCCACTGCTGATTGGAAAGAGATCAGCAAGAGGGTTTCACCTGTAGTCTCCCCGGGAAGAATCGGTTACCTGGTGCAAGAAATGGAAAACATTGATAAGGACGTTATTTTTAATGACGTTCCCTCTGTCGTCTCCACCGATCAATTTGCTTTCAAATTCAACCAGATGGTTATGGGACTAGCATCTCTTGGCTCGGATTTGGCGCGAAACGCGAGCAGTGTGCTGAGCACAGTGAAAAATATGATCGACCACTGTTTTTATAATTTTTTCATATTTTATGCGCCCCTTGTCTTACCCTCGTTGAGGAAATCGTTCTTTCCGAAAATCGATGATGAGGAATTGTGTTCCATGGTGAGGAACGTTTCAATGTCGAGAGAAAATATTGGAGACCATCGCAACGACGTTTTCCAGTTTTTTATGGACGCACAGGCGAAGCAAGAAAAACGCAACAAGAAATCAAGCTCAAGTAATTCATCATTTGGTAAGCAGTTTCCCTTCTTGAGATTTTTAAATGTTTTTAAAAATAATAGTGAGAATACGTAGCCGAGCGCTTGCAATTATCATACTTAATTTATAAATTATTTGCTTTTTCAACTGCGTTCAAATTCCATAAGTCAAAAACGGGGTAAATGTAAATTCTACGCCAATTTTGACCCTATATTCCTACAAGTGAATGACTATTTCTAAAATTTTCCGAAAGGCTCATTCTAAGCAGACTTAATCGCAAATCTTTGGGTCTCGCAAGAGTGACACCAGCATTGCCATGTACGATCATGTCATAAAAAATCATATACGAGATGTATATCAGTGCCCCAAAGAAAAAAGATGCCCAACTCACATTATTGGAAAAATCGAGATAGTGTGGTTTTGGAAATCTTCAATTCCGCACCTATGTGTGAAAAATTTAGCAGCTTCATCTTACGCCGGTCCTGATACAGGGATTTCAAAAATTGTTATTTACATTGGAATCATCAGGGCCGACGCGCGGTTTTATTCCCCTGATACGAGTTCGAAATGACTAAGGGGTGGGTACCTTTTGACTCTGAGGCACTGAATGCACTAATAATGACATATTCTGTATAAGTTGGACGAAAAAAATGCTGATCCATACCAAAGGAAATAGTGTCCGGACGAATCTCTCGGCGAGTCTTATTCAAATTTGATAGTATTGGATTCGATTAAAAATTCTCGACTTTCAATCATGATGATGAGGAGAGCGTAGGTAATGTGGGTTCCATATATGTCTCTCTTGATATATTACGATGATTCATCCATTTTACAGTGATCGAGAATGAAAATTATGAAAAGATTTCAACCTCTCTCCCCCCTCTTTCCCCCTCCCTCTCTAGTGCTCGTTGACCTTCATTTGTATAAGTAGGTCTCGGAGGATGGGAACAGAATCGCACGAACTGCGTAAGGATTTGAATTTTTGGCGCGTATACGTAGTATACCGCCTTTGCGATCGTTTCGACCCCCCCCCTCGATACAATAACCGAGTCCCCTAGTTCCTTACCGAAAAGTGACTACCGCGAACTTCTGAGATTTTCCAAAGCGTGTAAAAAGTTTACTAATCCGTCAATAATAATGATTAAAATTTGTTTCTCATTCTGGGGCTCGCTAGTTTATGTGTAATGAATACCAAGAGTCTACGTTTCTTGGTTTTTTTTAAAAAAACCTTAGAATGGGGCGCGCTGATTTAAAATATGCATATATAAGCGGAAGCAAGCGAACTGATTCGAGGATGGCTGACCAGTTCGGCACTCCTTGAATGAGAATTTCACTCACTCCGTTTTGTTCACAACGTTGCTTTGACATATCTCCACAACACTGTTATCCTTTTCAAAAGTTGGTACTCCTTGCTCTGATAGCCGGGGCCACCAGGATAGTGGTAAGTGCAATCTGTGATGAGCCTCGAGACTCATTAGACCATTTGCTAAACGTGGCTCATACAGGAGTCCACTAAGCCCTCTCGTCCCCACGCTCCTGATCACTGCGTCGGCGTCACGAAGAACAATGGGCCTTGGGTCCCAACGCGGCCGATACCCGTACCCCAATTACTCACGCTTCATTAACCATTTCACCGTCACGCTAGGATTCATCCAATTTTCAAAAAAAAT